TACATACTAACAGTTATTTCAAGTTTTTGGTAGTAATCAACAACAAAAAATATTGAATAACAAATTTTAAAAAATTATAAGGGCAAAACGAATAATGATTTTCACACCTATATAGGGTAATGGGAATAGAAATTGGAGAAGTTAAACCCAAACGCCAAATTACATAAAATATGTAAAAGAAAAAAAGCATGATAATACTTATTTATGCCGTTGTTCTGATTTATACAGTTTGATGTCCTTCTGAAGTAGAGAAATCGTGCCATGAGCTTGTTTTCAAAGAGTTTATACACAAATAGGGTGAAGAGAAAGATTGACAACAGAAGCTTTGTTTATCGAATCAAATGCGAATATGTGTAATAGGAATGATTCAACACCTGTCCCAGATATCCGGAAAATTCGACCGCCCCAAAGATGACAAATAGGGGGGAACAAATGAAACTAAAAAATCACGATTCAAAATCGTGTGATTATAATTGATATGATTATGAACAATAAATTTTGTTCTCAACGTCATCCAGTAAATAATAATACTTTTTCACTCGGTGATACATCTAATAAAGAAACTAGTATAGAATTACAGCCATTGAGAACATGTTTTTATAAATGTTAAATTGTTAACACTTCACCATCAAATTTGAGCGACAACCGAAACTTCGTTCCCTTTCGTGCTGACATTTTTGGTACCCCAGTGAACAGCGTATATTTTGGTGAGTGATGTGGCGCCACGTGATTAAAACCTATTTCAGGAAAAGGAGAAAACCCTGGGAAACTGGAAAATGGCGTAAAATACAATTATGGATGATACATCACTGAAAGTACACTTACAAGATACATACAAGAAGGTGGTGGAGACTCCTTGGAATGATAGAACACATTTGCAGTGTTTAATGCTAACCATATTGGTTTAAGCTTGGAAACTGCGACGTTTTTGTTGAAATTATGGCTTTGTTCAAACGCTGGTGTTGTCGTGTTTTTGATGAAAGCAACCGACTTTAAGCAAGCAACAAATACGAACAAAGAGTTAGTTTTATCTTCATTAAAGGCCTAGGTAGTTAAGATAAAAATAGAGTATAATAGTGCTTAATTGAAAAGATTACCGTGAGAAGTGAGTTCAAAGATCGGGAAGATTAGAACCCGTAGGACAAGCCGACCTGTAAAACGACTCACGAATTTCTGTAGGGCCCAATGTGTAGCATCTTGACAAGAAGCTGAACAGGCTTGTAGATGGTAGGGGGAAAACACTTTTTATAATTAAGATCTGTACAAGCCTCATTTTTTCTTGTTAAGGATCTAGACTCATGTTTATCTCCAGAGCTGTCGAAAGTGCACATTGCTGTCCTACATATTGGAGCGATTCACATTTGTGACCACCACCATATCTGCTGACCAACATGTACCACACTCACTCCTTTTTAGATGTTAAGCTTTCAGGTATTCGCGGCGATAACTTTAGTTGCAGCATCGAAATGTCTTTGCGCCCATCCCAGTGGTACAGTATGCTGCACATTAATAGCTTTCATGACAAGTGCTTCCAATTAGGTCACCATATACATCGACACTTGAGGACATTCTTGGCAGTACCACCTTCATACATGCATAAGTGTGCATAAGTATTTGTTACAAACGACTAGGAAATTAGGTGTCTCTCAAAAGTTTATAAAGTAGAGAAGTAGCTGGTACTGCAGCAACCAAGTTATAGTCTATTTAGCAGAGTGGAATTGGTAGTGCAACAATCAGTGATAAAATTATGTACGATGATCCTGAAGAAAACATCTGGTTAACAGAACTAGTTATGCTGAATTTTCATGACCGATTTCCACATCGTATGCGTCAGACATTGTAAAGTAACCCATAAACTTACGTCTGCTGATCTTTATGTTCAGATTATATTTTATGCTTATGGATTCCTAAATTTGAGAATGTTATTCCTGTAGGATTCACAAAACCATGTTCGCTAGACATTACTGAGATTGCGGACTAATTTTTAAGTTACACATTTGCAATACTTCTTTTGATGTAGACGTATTTACTGTGCAGTTGATTTAGAAGTAATCTTGATAAGAGAACGCCCTAGGATTATGGAAATTTTAGGGTTTGTCTTGAAATTTGTGCATAATTCTCTAATAATGGGAAGGATATGGGGTCTGTTTATGCATACAGCGTCAATATGAAAACCGGCTGTATACAACAAACACCTTTGTTTGCATTAGAATTTTATTTAGTATTAATAGAATCAGTGTATTCATATTGTATACTAATATGTAAAATTATCTTTCATGACCTCGTGTTGCGCTAGTCCTTACATGTGTTTAATTTTTTTAGGCAAATGGAGGTCGTCGAATATGAAATCAGTAGAAATGTCAATCGGTCAAACTAACTCTAATACCCTTCATCAGGATTCTCTTTTTTAAATTATTGAAATGTTTAATATACCGCTAGTTTCCACTTCTTCAGTGCGTCGCTATGTGAATTTGGATTAATGCATGTTAAGCTTACTTAGTGGGATGGAGATTTACTGTGGTATTATCAGAATGTTACTTTAGTCATTCATAGGATTTCTCGTCTGTTTCTATTCAATAGCACGTTGTTAAAACTAAGTAGGACTTAGCAAGCTGGATAATAATTCTGTTCTGTTCGATACGCTAAAGTTGCCTTATCTAGCCAGTTGCAAATCTGTATACTCTTAAACGCCAAGTGTGTAGTACAAGTAAATGTGGTAACCTAGGGTTGATGTTTACTTCATCAATCTGTTAATATGCAGTGATATCATCAAATAGACTGTTTACTCGACAATGAGCTGAGAAACAATTTTTATTTATTTCTAATATGCCATTCAGTCATTTGAAATGATCTAATATCCATAATTTTTATGATCAAAAACTGCAGTATTTGCATATCTACTTTATGGATAATAAATTACTTACGATTTTATGAATCTAATTAGAACTTTATCCTGCTTTAATCGTGATAGTAGCGTGATACATTGAACTAATCACGCAGCGTATCATCGGGCATAATGTTTATGAGCCAGGTGTGTAAATCAAAGTAAACGCTCGTACGGTACATTCACTATTTTTAAGACTAGGTAGTATGTAAGAACTACGATTTGACCACTTATAAAACTTTAAATATATTTAGATATAACCAACGCACGCTGCTTACTTCTATGATACACTACCTAAAGCTACGTAGCTACCTTAAAGTTGTTCCCACTGAAGGTAATCTCCTCTAGCTACTACCTTAGTGGGCAACTTAATGTTATCTTTGAATGACGAAGTAAGATTTGACATCCTGAAAACTGCATGGGTACAAAGATCGTCTCCTGGTCAAAAAATATGAATATATCCTAATCTACACGAAAGCGTTTGGAGTCATTTATCCTATCACCACAACGCCTCAACTGATTCACTATTCCTCGTCACTTAGAAAGTAAAAATAAATCTACTGAGGACTGTATGCTTCTGACTTCCAGATATAATGCACCCTTGGGATAATAATAGTTAGACGCGTTATATTTATCCGAAACATAACGACTATAGTTGTCAGCTACAGAACATCCTACTCTGCTATATATTCATCCAACGTGCCAGCAAATATTTCGCCAAGAAAAAGAGGACCATTGGTTCAAGGAAAATTCATTTAAAGTTTTCTAAAAAATCATGGACATAAATATTTATAGCCACGGAGAAATTACAAACATCCAAAAAGTAGGAATTCGATAATTCGAACTGAAACAAGCAACTTGAATTCAGCTAGTGTCCTCTCCCCGAGTAATAATCAGCTTCTCAGCTTGTCTTAGCTTCGAAAAAACAACCGATTGCAAGCCACAATCCGAATCGTTATTCCTTGAAATTAAAGTCTTACCTTTATTTGGGATAACACGTACACTCACGAGATCATCGTATGCTATGTACTTTTAAAATCATTTTGCGACATACTGAATGGCTGGTAACAGTTGCTTTACTACAAACAATTCTAGTTCATGTGTTTGGGTCTGGTACATTAGGCATTAACAACCATAGGAAACACTTATCCTTTGAGACGAATGTGATTGCCTTCCGACTTCCTGTTGTTTTCAAAAATACATACAAGCACCACATATTCATAATTCACATGTGGCTCATCCTTGTTTAAATTAGATCTTCTCACAATATATCAGGTGTTTTTAACTGATAATAGACGCGCTGATGGAATACTCATCTTCTAGAAAAGCTCCAGAGCTTTTTCAACTTCAACCCAGGTTCTAAATTTATTTATTTATTTTATATTTTATTATAGCTTGATTCCACACAGTGCTCCTTTTGGTACAAGTATGAAATTTTCAGCATGTGATATCGGTAGCCCAAATTTAGTAGGCCGACCATAGATATCAGGTGTGCGTCGGTGGGGGATCGAACCTCGGACCATGTGCATGGTCGGCGAGAGTCCTAACCGCTGTGCCACCGACGCACTCCAGGTTTAACATGCTTTCTGAAAACCTTGCTACTGTCAACTCTGATCGTGATCTTTTCACTAGAGTGACTCGTAGATTGCTGCATGCTGCAAACTAGAATGTGAAAGATATAGTTTTTTTTGAGAATTCTACATATTAAGTAACCAATTGGACCATTGGTTATAGCGGCAACCAACAAATGAACTGGAAACAACAGCTTCTGCCACCCAAACAGGTTCATGTGCATAATTTAAAAAACTTCGACACAGTACTATTTCACAAACAGCTGAAAAACATTGAAAACACAGAAACGACGCATGAATGCAACGTATGAACAATTACAATGAAATGAATGAACTGACCTGACGGTTAAAGCTTTCGAAAAAAACCAAATAACTAATTTTGGCAGTAACAGAAAAAAAATGAGGTGAAATGCAACATTTGGGATCACTGTACATCAAGACAAGTTCAGTCGATGATTTGAGCCTCTGAAAGCATTGGAGGAATTCAAGGTCAGTGAGAGCGGAACAACCGTATCAAAATTTATAGCGCGCAGCTGGAATTGACTATGGAATATTCTTCAGTAGACCTGAAACTAAAATTATACGCTGCTGCGGTAAGTATAGAGCTGAATTGTATAATTTTGTCTTAGATACAGAATGCACACATCTTGGCAGGTGAAATGGATTTAGCTAACTTGCAGCTGGCATTCAAAATGACATCCGAGTTGCAACAACGTGTTATTGATTTAATGCGCAAACAAGAAAGACATCTTAAAAATTTGGAAGCCTTTATGAATATAAAGAAAGAAGGTAATATGTTTCTTGGGGCTGCTCAGTAATTTATTTTCAGACACATATCCAGTAGGTGTTATGGAAATAGATAAAGAAGTCTCGCAGAGTATGGAGACAGATATGGATGCGCGACATAACCATTACGATGAAAGTCAAAACAGTGAAGTTATAGGCAGTGGTAGGTATAACATTTTCGGAAACGAACTTAAGATTTGTAAGCATGACTTAAAGACGGCAAATCATTTGGAAAGCAAGTAGGACAGGTGGACAGTATTTATTGTTTCATTAGAATAAAAAAAATCAGTTAACTGGGTGTAATGCGCTAAGGTTACATTGACTTCTTCGTCCTCAAAGTAGCCAACTGTTGACTAGGTAACTGAACATATCAGTTCGGTACTTCATCAACGTAGGGGATTATATTAGAATTAGAGTAAGTTATGATCCTCAAATCTTTCAACCGCTGTCATGTGATTATGTTAGCGAAGGTAGAGAATAGACACCCTGAGGAATGAACGCGAGAATGGCCTTGGAAATCTTAATCTAAACCAGGCAGCGGAGTCAGTTGAATAACAGTATTCTCATAAGAGAAGTACTAAATGCAGTAAAAGCAGCTGGTCTTCCTATTTTAAAGCCAGGCTAGGTTTACGTTAAGGCCGCAGTAGAGTTAGGTAAGAGTAGGTTACGTAATGGCTGAATTAAAGAACCGAATTAGCATTTTTAGCATAATTGGCAGACCCAAGGTCATTGGTGGTGGGTTCGCCCCGAGTGTATTCTTTAACTGTCTTCTAGTATTCAAATATTTTTTCAGGAGTATTTATAGTGACTGATCGTCTAACTGTCATACCCGTAAGACTGAAGATCGCTACCACGTCTCTGCCGTTACATGTGCTGTGTAAGAATTAGAATAATTGAAATTACATTCTTAATCCAAAGTACTGCCTACTTCCGTATCATCTTGATATATCATGACAATGATTCGGGGTTTCATTAAGGTTTGACCACTGTGAAGTATGCAGTACATTGCTGGAAATGCACTGATAATGCTGACCAAGGAAAAATTTAGAAGTGATAACTTGGGAAAGATCAGAAAGACGTTCATTTTACACAGCAATCAGTAAATACTAATTAATAGTGAGATATATGTGGGAAGGAAGATATACACAAACTAAGTGGATATAATAATGAAAAGATAATATTGCTGGGGAAGGGGAACATCATAAAGTAATTTGACTGGATTACGGCCACGCTAAATCTGGCCAGCTATGTTGGTTTTAGACGTTGGTCTTCCAAATGCAACAGGTTACAGGTGATCCTAATCTGCAACACAAAAAAGCAGCAAAACTTGGTAACATAACTCCAGAGGTGTTTGAGGATGATGATGAATTATGCACTGAGCTAACTAAGATATTAAAGAATGTCTGGGAATCCGGGAAAGTACCGCTAGACTGGTTAGGTTGAGCCATAACACTGATTGTGTTTCCCTGTTGGCTAGTCCATGCCAAAGTTGGAAAAAAAATAATGAATAGGTTGGAAAATCCTCATGAAATTAGCCAACTGATGTTTGAAGAGGAGGCATTCTTTATTGGTTCACCCCTCAACACGCTTAATTCTAATATTACAACGGATTGCCAACACCACTCACCTCATCCGTCACTAGGTTCTTTTGGGTAAGTTTCAAAATCTTAGTGTCTAAAATACAGGTGTTTCTGATGTTTTTACGTGCATTCCGAGATGTGAGTCACATTTTACTGGTGAACGATAGTAGACAGTTAGGTGCACTCACTCCTGAGCTCTTTCTAAGGCTGTACAAAACATACGTCGGACCACACCTTGAATTGCATAATATTATTGCACCCCCACTGCTTAGAAGAGACGCTAACTTCTTGGAAAGAGTCCAAAGACGGGCAGCAAAAGGAGTGGTTGGTCTCCGAAACAAACCATATGATGAAAGGCTAAAGAAATTAGGCCTATTCACACTTAGCTACCGTCGTCTTAGGGGGATTTAATTACTGCCTACGAAATAACAAATGACCAGAATCACCCAAACAAAGGTGTTCTGCTATTGAGTCGGTATAGGCCCCCTCGTGGAAACCCCAGAAGGATAGCTCACCAGAGGGCAAGGACCCGGGTGTGCTCCCACTTCTTTTCACTGTGGGTTGGCCGTCCCTGGAATTCCTTACCGGCACCGTCTGTGGACGCCTTTAACCGAAGGCTGGACAATCATTCAGAGACACAAGGACTGCGTCTAAATGGCCTATCCCCTTAAAATCCCATACATCATTCAGGGGTAGATAACTAAGTTCATCGTTTTACATCTTTACATTCTCTCTTCCGTCTTACTCTCCCGACAACTTTACACTTAATATTATCATTACTTCATCTCCTCTTCGCATGGCCTCCTTCATGTCACCATCGCACTGGCGACCAACTCGCCGCTTCCCATTCGGGTTCCACTCGAGTGATGGCCTGGTGTGTGATGTCACTCACTTGATGGTTTGTTTTCTCAGAGTATGGCTAATCCACCTCCATTTCTTCCTGCATATTTGTTGCACAATTGGTTCCTGCTGGGTTGGTTCATTGCCAGAAATCTTTTCTGGCCGGCCATCTGATATTGAGCGAAGACAGCTGTTGATGAAGGTGTGTAGTTCGTTTGAAGTGCCCTTTGTGACGCAGCGCTGTGCCAAGTCTCTGATTCATATAGTGAGTAGCACTGACTGCACATTGGAGTTGAAAATGCTGATGTTATTTTTCATACTGAGAGCTGTTGATCTCCACACAGACTTGAGAGTAACGAAAGCTTGCCTTGCTTTCTCGATGATCCTCGCTTTGATGTGCTCATCAGTTCCGTCCGCCTGTAGTTGAAACGACGATGCTTCCCAGGTAGGTCGGTAGGTAGCTGAAGGATGTTGCTTCTTTCAGATTCCTCCCATTTATGCTGGCTGGTTGTTGTAGCTGTTGCTGTTGGCCAGGAATCTTCATTACCACAGCTGTTTTCTCTATGTTCATCTGAAGTAAGTCCTATCTTTGATGCTTCTTCTGCCAACTTGTTGCTTTTCACTTGCATATCCTCCAGTTTGTGAGAAATCAGACATATATATGTCATCGGTGGAATTCAGATCCTCGAAGTGTTTTTTGTGTGGGTCAATTTTGTGCCTGTTTCCTCGTTGCCCGTCGTCTGTCACATTATCTAGTCTACCGCATTCAGGAAAATCAGTGGAGATAGTAGACAGCTTTATCTTACTCCCGTTTTCATTTCGAAGTGTTCCGTGAGTTTCCCGTTGTGGATTACTTGGCATTCAGCATTATGGCTATTATCAAAAATAATAATTTTCATCTCTTGTCCGAATTTCTAGATGTTTGTAGCTACTCACAAATCATGAAGTCGTTTATGCAGTCCTGTATCATTAAGCAGGTGGAAGTATACTGGTACAATAATTATTGGGAATAATTATCATCATATCTTATTCAGATAGCGAAGTTCTCTTTAGACTTAGATTGTTGTTATTGTTACACCGCTAAGCTTTCAGTTATTCATACTAAATGATGTTATTCCGCATTAAAATTACCGAATGTTACTGTGAAATAAATCGAAATTTCTCAGTAATCGTGAGTTTTTAGTCATTCGACAGTCACTTAACTTCTAGAGTCACTGAAGTTTTGCATCCGTATATATACATATATATATATTTACTGGGAAATAGATATGAGAATAGATGATATAGTTACGGATATTTGATTGATTGCATGTTCTCATTACTTTGAACATGCTGTGGAGCAGATTCATACATTGATTTCTAGTCTGAAATGCGAAACCTGATATGACTCCAGAGGTGTTTAAAGATGCTGATGAAGTATGCACCGGGTTAACTAAGATATTAAGCAGTGTGTGGGAATCCGAGAGAGTCCCGTTAGACTGGTTAGGATCATCATGATGCTAAGAACCAATGACTGGAGACTGTTGATGATATGGCTCAAAATAGCTCTTAATGGCACTGATGTATTCACCATTTGTTATCTCCCACATCCACTGAACTGTCATATTTTTCCATGTTACTATTCTTTCTCCCGCACATTTCTACTCGTTGTGGTTCTTTTGAATCTATTCTTTCTCTTTTCCCTACCTTTTTATGCTGCATGGAGTGTGCAACTTGAACTGGTGCACTTCTGTGCAAAGTTCTATGTTGAAACTCAGTTAGTTAGTCGGTTTCGGTAGGCTGGTGTAAATTCTTGATTATCCCAGTGACAATCGAGGTTGGGAGGTGGATGGGTTGTGGAAATTGGCTTGACTAACAGTATCTAAAATTCTAGGTCCGCGAATCCCGCGTAGACTGGGAGTTGCTCAGGAGAAGTATTTGTCTTATCTTCAGCCTTCGATAAATTCTGAAACATAGACACTTGCTGGCGTCCAACACTTTCCACTTCTTGACATGAAGACGATATTCTATTCTGTTGACTGAAAGGTGCTGTGACAATGTCTGTTGGTGAAGGAAGTGCTCAGAAAGAACACTACACTAACGAAGGCATTCTACTGGGTGGGAATCACAGCCGTGCAAGAGCATACGAAGAGTTGTCATCTGACGACCAGTGATGTCCGTGAGGAACGCCCAGTGTCTCCGTTTTTGTTTAATTTCATCGTACATGTATTGATAAGTGTAACCGTGATTGATTTTAGCGACCTGTGGCAAGGAGCAGTCTCATATCTTCATAGTATGCAAATGGTACTGTCCTTGTAGGTAAATCTGATGACGATATGCGGAGTCTTCTGCACACGTTGAGCAGAAATCTTAGTACGTTTGGCATACGATTCGCTTCTGTGAAATGTAAGATGATTCTATAGGAGTGTTTTGCATCGACTCATAGTTTAAAGATAGGAAGTAAAGTGGTTGGGTGTGTTGACCACTAGATTTACTCGAGAAGTTGCATCAGCATTAATGTAGTGATTGCTGACGAAATCTCAGCATGGATATGGAGGGCTTGTGTACATTTGTGAAATGAAGTTATCCCTGGTGTAGACGTGATGTCTGGCTATCGACAAAAAGTATGTACTGTTCAACAGTTCGCTTTTTCAAGTGTTGGTTTGTAGGGATTTGATTGGTTACAGGATTTCATCATGAGCTGACATCAGTTAGAGAACCATTGGAAAACCTGGGAGTACTGGACAGCTGTTTCGTCCTAGTTTGGGACTCTTCAGCAGTACGCACCCACCGGGATTCGAACCCAGGACCTTCTGGTTACAAGGCGAGCTCGTATACCATTAAGCCACTGGGACCCGATCCAATGGTCCATGAATTCTAACTTCTGCCAATTCACGACATAGCGCGACCCCTAGCCAATGTCTTCGGCGAGTATTTGTCCTCACGCCCGACCTGCTGCACCCTACTGGTCACGACTTCTCACTAGAACCCCAGGTGACTACCCACCTGAATAGGGCAAGTCGCTAGTGAGCATCTCATTGATTTTCAAGTGTTGGTTTGTAGGGATTTGATTGGTTACAGGATTTCATCATGAGCTGACATCAGTTAGAGAACCATTGGAAAACCTGGGAGTACTGGACAGCTGTTTCGTCCTAGTTTGGGACTCTTCAGCAGTACGCACCCACCGGGATTCGAACCCAGGACCTTCTGGTTACAAGGCGAGCTCGTATACCATTAAGCCACTGGGACCCGATCCAATGGTCCATGAATTCTAACTTCTGCCAATTCACGACATAGCGCGACCCCTAGCCAATGTCTTCGGCGAGTATTTGTCCTCACGCCCGACCTGCTGCACCCTACTGGTCACGACTTCTCACTAGAACCCCAGGTGACTACCCACCTGAATAGGGCAAGTCGCTAGTGAGCATCTCATTGATTTTCAAGTGTTGGTTTGTAGGGATTTGATTGGTTACAGGATTTCATCATGAGCTGACATCAGTTAGAGAACCATTGGAAAACCTGGGAGTACTGGACAGCTGTTTCGTCCTAGTTTGGGACTCTTCAGCAGTACGCACCCACCGGGATTCGAACCCAGGACCTTCTGGTTACAAGGCGAGCTCGTATACCATTAAGCCACTGGGACCCGATCCAATGGTCCATGAATTCTAACTTCTGCCAATTCACGACATAGCGCGACCCCTAGCCAATGTCTTCGGCGAGTATTTGTCCTCACGCCCGACCTGCTGCACCCTACTGGTCACGACTTCTCACTAGAACCCCAGGTGACTACCCACCTGAATAGGGCAAGTCGCTAGTGAGCATCTCATTGATTTTCAAGTGTTGGTTTGTAGGGATTTGATTGGTTACAGGATTTCATCATGAGCTGACATCAGTTAGAGAACCATTGGAAAACCTGGGAGTACTGGACAGCTGTTTCGTCCTAGTTTGGGACTCTTCAGCAGTACGCACCCACCGGGATTCGTGAATTGGCAGAAGTTAGAATTCATGGACCATTGGATCGGGTCCCAGTGGCTTAATGGTATACGAGCTCGCCTTGTAACCAGAAGGTCCTGGGTTCGAATCCCGGTGGGTGCGTACTGCTGAAGAGTCCCAAACTAGGACGAAACAGCTGTCCAGTACTCCCAGGTTTTCCAATGGTTCTCTAACTGATGTCAGCTCATGACAAGTTCGCTTTTTCTCTCTTCATGACTGTAGGACAGAACCGTAAAAAGAAGAGTATATGAAAGGATCATCTGTGCGTAGTCATGATTGTTTGTGTCCTGTCTCCCGTGTTAAATGGCATAATATTATAACTTATATTGAGGTTGGGTGTAGAAAGTTAGGTGATAGAGGCAAATCAACTGCTAAAGTTGTGAAGCTGCATCGATTGAGATAACTGGGACACGTGTTACACATTCGAGGCCGTCATCTTCCCTGTCGAGCAATGTTAGTCGACATAAGATTAGATTGGAAGAGGGTTATTTGTGGTGCAGTCGAAACCTGACATCAATGCTTGAAGCCTTTGACTAGTGGTTTGAGTCACGTAAGGAGATATAGACTGTCTGGCTGTATTCCTGGAGGTGCAAAGGAGCAACGGTTTGAGAGTTTTGGTGACATGGCCCAGTTTTAATGTTAAATGCGTAGTTGCATTCGCTGTTTGTAATGTCTCATTCATTAAATTTTTATTATTTCTCATGCAATTATTTATTCTTCTGCAAGTTTCCCATCACCATAGGTCCTTTTTCTTTTTTGTTTCATTTGGATGGTGGCAACTAAAACTGTCTCACTTTTTTCGTAAAGTTCACCTACGAAAACTCGAACAGTGTGTTAGTGATAGTGTGCATTTAGTGCTATAGGTGTTCTTATCAGAAAAACTGGCGAATATATTAAATAATATCAGGATCAAGGGATTTAACCTGTTAAGAATTTAACTTTGCTACATGCAGTTTTCCTTTGGAATATGGCTCACTTGCAACATAGAGTATCCTTGTATGTGCATATTTATTTGTTTTTGATAATTGAGTTTGTGCAAGTCAATCAGCGATCTCCAACGAATAAAATGAGATTCCGTCTCATAAAACAGAAACTTATTTCAGACCAGAAGAACGCTGGGAATATGCTTACAGTTTTTGTGTCTAAGAAAGCATAAAATTAAATTGTAACTGAGTTCCAAGATAATGTTTACCTGTATCGACAGTGACTCCTCTTATGTTTATGACTTAATTCAGCAAATGGATAGCTTGCGCTTCCACTCTCTGGAACAGTTCCATTCTGTTATTTCTGTAATATCAGTCCGTGTACTTTGGTTAGTAAACATCGCGAAACTCACTAGCTTCTTTGTACTTTTAAGAAATTAAGCAAGTAAATATATGAAGTTTTAAAGCGCTTCTGCAAATGGTAATACATATATGCTAAAGAGAAATATGAAGTATCAGAGATAGTTTTCTGTGTTGAGCTTTAGTTACTGTCCTAGCGTGTATTGGCTAACCATTTAGAAATGCAGAACAGCTTCATGCTTTCGTTATGATTATCTCATATCCTTGCGACGGTGATAGTATTTAGATCTAAATAGCATATTGTCATAATTTCTCACTAGTTAGTTTCTATAGATATTTATCATTTGTGCAGGAAAACGTTCTTCCGCGACATCTCGTTACACAATAAAACTAAGTGCCTTAATTTCTACTACGGTCACACAAATGTCCTCATGTAGAGCAGTCACTAGCTGGTTGGTGAAAACTGAGTCCACTGAATGTTTAGTTTTAGTCGCGGGAATACTTTGGCATTGTGGTTTAGTAATTCTTGACAAAAAGAATTCGCTATCAGGCTTCAGATGAACATAGTTGTTTTAGACCTGGTGACTTGCAATCAGTGAGCGTGACATTACATAATTAAAACTTGAAAGGGTGAATTAAATGTGAACTTGTTGATGTGAAGAAATTTTAACTTAATTGAATTTCATTTTATATTTATCACATTTTTAGAAAATATTGAAAATGGGGAGGCAATAAATGACAATCAGCATTTGTGTGAACTGTCAAACCATGTAGTCAATAATACAGTACCTACTAACAGTCAGGCGAGTAGTATATGTGAAACGCTTACACCAAGTACTTCCACCTCAGAGGAAGCATGGAAACCATTAAGTCAGAAACACAAATTGAGATCTATAGAATCCCTTTGTGAAGTTATGCTTCTTGATGGTATTCCTATACCTTTCACCAATGAAAACACGGATTGTGTTGCCTGTAAACTAAGAAATCACGTGCAAACTGAAACGGTAATCAGGATGGTTTGTGCAGCGTGCCCAGAATTTCCTCGGCTTTGTTCAGCACAATGTTTTCGATGGTGGCACAATGTTCACTTACCGGCACTCCGTAATAAACCAAGAGCAATAATCGACAGGGGATTTATTGCAAAAGTGAATGTAAATAATTAACAATATATTCTTTTTAAAATATACAAATGTGATTCAACAGAGCATATATACACAATATTTTTGTATTTTTCCCCCATTCACATCAGGGTTTAATATCACGGGCTGATGATTATTCTTGGAAAAAATTTTCGTTCACAATATACCGTATACACTGCATAAGTTGATTACGTTCTTTGCGAATATCTTCTGCCAACAACTGAAATAATTTGCAACAATAAAACAAATAAACACAACTGAATCACACAATAATCTAATTACGAACTTAGTTTTAACAAGGTGAAGATAAATAAAACATAACAGGCGGTTAGAAATCTTGAGTATTTTAGACAACATACAAGTTTACTTAGTAAACCTTTGAATTCCACCTACTAAAGCTGCCTATGAATGTCATAATATCGGAAATGAATAAATAAGACTTTCATATAAGAAAACATTAAATTGCGATGATTGATTTTAATATGATTAGATACTAATATTAAGTTAGTTGTGCAAATAAGCAGTGGTGTAGCTGACTAGATAGCCCATCCGACTTTTATTCAGTCGACCACGGGTTTGAATGTCCCGACCCCTCACCGCATCTGCTACCTAGATATCGCAGTCAGATGATATTGTGGTTTGTCAAAAGTCTAAATCGGGCTCATTACTAACTAGATTAACATGTACTTTCATTGGACACTAGTAACTAGTGTGATGCGTCTCGTCCTTTTTTGGTGCAGAATGAATTCGTTCAGTTAGGTTTGTAATGTGGCCACCATTCTAGGTAGCTCGCCATCACGGTGAACATTGATTTGATGACATTAGATGGTTGGAAGCAATCGGCAGGAAGTCTTAGGCCTAGGTATCGTTCTAGTTGGTACTTGTCATCAAAGGCGTATTTACAAACTTGAAAGAACTTACGTCCCTTCTGAAGTTTTAACTAGCGCCACCCAGTGCTGCGGTCAGAGACGTTACCACTGAACTATTCAGGCTGGCGAACGACCTCCTGTAGGAATGTATTGGATACTTTGATTAGACATTAGTTAGTAGCTTGTTTAATTTGTTCAGTCTTTTCTTTGGTGCAGACTGAATTCTATTGTCAGTCAAGTTTCCAATGTGGCCATTATTCAAGTGGGCTCACCATCACGATGCACTGTGAATAGTTGATAATAGATGGTTGGAACCAATCGGCCACAGGAAGCCCTACCTGACTTAGGTCTCGTGCTAGTTGGCACTCACCAGTTAGCAGGGCATATCTGCACTCACCTTGAAGGACCTCATGTTCCTTCCGGAATTCGAACCCGTGTCACCCAGTTCTGTATTTATTGTAAATTTCGATAGACTCTGTTTTGTGAAAGATACAGGAATGTCGACATCGATGTTTCGTCCAATAAGCTCTTCGAATATAAAGTCTACTGTTTCCATAAGTGGTACATTAATTAGTTAACAAGGTAGATATGCTAAACGGTGACATGAATTTATTTATCTTTTATCCTTTCAACAGATGCAAAGGTGTCTTATACGCTCTGTTTCACCAATTCAGGCTTTAAGAGTTAAACCGAACATTTGGCCATAGAGTGATGTATGTATATATAATTGTAGAGCTTGAAGAGGAATTTGTCAAAAAGAATGTCCTTTGCTTTGTTCAAGGTTGCAGATGCGCCTTGCTGATCTTGTTTTCACATGACTACTATTTGAGACATAAACATTGATGTCAATTACTGTCTACCAATTTGGCTAGCAGTCATCTCTCACCACACCTCTATAGATATTCATAACTTGACAGATTCTCGTTATTCATAATCTAACGGTACATCGATGGTTCAGCTGTAGAGAATGCTCGTCAACCACACGGAAGATCTAGGTTTTGATTCCCGATTGATGCACTCCTAGACGTTGGCTAGTATACAAGCCGGTAACGAGCATGTAAAAGAGGAAAGTTTTAGCGAGTGACTTGCAACCATACGCTGTAGAAACAACATCACACCTGCTGAATATTCAAAGCTTGAAGCCATATGTTCCACTCGGAACGCAAAGGAATAAGAAAGTCGTCGAGCGACAATTTTTGTATGCTATCCAGTTATCCCTTCAATAGCTGGCTAATATGCATCGTCTCGTCAGTTTCGCACGTTTCGGTCTTTGATGGGAAAAGGGCACACTGATCACTGAATCTCAACTCAGTTTTTGGTACTGCACCTGGTGAAGAAAGTATGTAGACTTATCGGATACCAATTTGAAACAACTGGTGGTCGTCTTTCTATTGTACTGTGGTTTACTGACAACTGATCTTCCGTTAATAACTTTGACCATAAAGCAGAAATGCACTAAGACCAGTAAGCATATTTTAGCGTCATAAGAACACAAGAATAATGAATTCAAAGTCTGACAATTCTTTGCTGGTTTTTATCCTGTTAAATATGAGTGAGACGACGTTCTTCTCATATAACACGAAACCTACAACCATTTATTGTCAACAGTTCACAGTGTATCGTGATGGCGAGCCCACTAGAATAATGGCCACAATGGAAACTTGACTGACGATAGAATTCAGTCTGCACCAAAGAAAACACTAGACAAATTAGACAAGCTACTAACTAGTGTCCAACCAGAGTAGTCGACACTTTGTTTGATTAGTAGAGTTTAAATGCGTGGTTAACTAGTAAATTGGAAAAAGAATGCATAAATCACTGCAGGCCACTAAGTCTTCTAGTGGTATTAGCTTTTGTGTTATATTTAAAGGTCAGTTATTAAGAATTCGAAGTCTAATCCATAAGGCAGCTGAGCAACCTCAGTAGCTGCGTTCACATGCTTATCAGCCAGTAAAGCTAGTTTGGCATAAAACTAGCCTTCTTCCTCTTCATTTCGCGTCCGCAAACATTATTGAAGTGTTGGTGATTTGCAGGCATTTTATTTCTTTAAGGATTTCATCATCAGCTAACATCGGATAACGAAGCACTGGAAAACATTAGAGTACTGTTTCGTCCTAGTTTGGGACTCTTCAGCTCAATGGTCTACGGATTCGCCATGTAACCGGAAACTCCTGAGTTCGAACCCCGGTGGGTGCGTACTGTAAACAGTCCCAAACTAGGACGAAACAGCCATCCAGTACTCCCAGGTTTTCCAGTGGTTCACAAACCGATGTCATCTTATGATGAAATCCTGAAAACAATATTATTATTATTCTGTGGCCAAACTTTACCACAGCATTCTGTTGACCCTCCATAGCGCTTCTACTCGTGTCTTGAGAGCACGAAATTTGACTTAAGTCTTGTGAAAACACTTAAGCCACAGGAAGGAGGCGGACAGTTGACTTCAAAGAAAACAAGTATTGACAAACTTCTCTATGAAATGACTTGCAGAAGAATAGAGGAACCTGTTTAATGACAGGAAAAACTAGGACATTGAAGAGATTCAAACTGAGACATTTAAAAGGATGCTTCCAACAAAGAATATTTTCTTTGCGATGAAGTCATCAACTAGGCTGTTCATTCGTGTATTTCTTACAAATGAGTGGAAAAGTTCCAGAATAAAATAAGATTACAATTAGGAATTAAAATGCTATAATAAACAGGGGGACAGATAAAACTCAAACAAGGTAGCATCATAATTACTGAGAAGATCGACATATTGTGCAATTAGGGGTTAGAAATGTAGAAATAACAAAAACAGACAGGATGTTTGGATAAAAACTCCAGTAGGATCATAACTAATGTGACGAATAATTGTTTATGCAGTTAGAGATTAAATATGTAGAAATAATAAAATGACAAAATATACAGGAAGTTCGGATATGAAAATATGGTAGTGTAAATAGGGATTAGGAAAAACTTAATATAACATGAACAAAAGGGAAGTTTGGATAAGAAAGGTGATGGGATAGTCACTATTAGAAGAATTACCTGTTTATGATGGCCATGGCAGGAACAAGGGTTGGACGTATTTCTTTTGGGTACATAGCGTGGATTTGAGCTTTTGGATGGCTAGTGCCTTGGCTATGCCCAGATGTCTTAATTTTATTCCTTTTGATAGGTTTGATCGAATCTTGTATATTATTTTGAAGGATTTTTCGAATGGTGCTGAATGTTCTAAATTGACCAGATGTTCTGTCACTGAACTATATACACGTTTTCGTTCTCCTTTTACTAGCCAGGCTGGATGGTGTTCACGAGCGCGTTTTCCGAATTGGTGCATGGTACGGCCGATGTACTCAGCTCCGCAACAGCAAGTAAACTGATATATGCATGATGAAGTGGCCCAATATTGTTTTTGAAATTTATTATCATCAGATAGTATAACCGAGAGTTTGCTAAGGTAGTCTGATTTGTTCATCAATACGATCCCGGAGCCTTTCTGGCCGTGTCATGATCAAGTTTTCATTACCCTTCAGTTCTAAGCGAACTATCGGTGATACTATCTGATGATAGTAAGTTTCAAAAACAGTCTTCACAGAAAGATCCCACCGAACAGACGGAGCTCTCGCTAACGAAGATATTTAAGAAAATGAAATACGAATCCATCATCAGTTCAAAACTATACAAACAACTGCGTCCATCTGGTTCTACAACGCCGCGCATGTACAGCTTACCTATAGTGCACAAACAAGACGTCCCACTCCGCCGAATACTAGATATGATAGATTCCCCATATCACTCCATCGCAAAATGGCTAGTGGAGATTCTTAGGCCGGTGTAAGAGAAGCTGTCAAGACACAACCTCCGTGACACATTCGACTTTGTTGATTCAATTAAGAATGTCAACGTGGCAGAAATGAAAATGGTCTCCTCGGATATCGTCTCTCTTCATCAACGTTACATTGACAGAAACCGTATGTTTCCATTGTGACTACATTCAATTCAATAGCATCGATGTTGGTATACCGATCCATTACCTAGAAGAACTGTTACTACGATGCACTTTCAACGTATACTTTAGATTCAACAACGAAATATACAGACTAGTAGATGGAGTAGCAATGGGTTCTCTCCCATAGTACCCCTCCTGGCCGACTGCTTTATGGCTAACCT